GTGAACTGGCACCTGACCAACCATCGGTTCCCAAGACAAGTATCTACAGACTGAGCTACTGCAAAAAGACAGAGGCATGTACCAGACAGGGAGAGTCAACAAATGATGCTATTCAGGCATGATGGGAATTGTAAGATTTAGCATTTTTTGGATTCTGACCTATTGGAATTCAAGTCAGGATTTCAATTTTGACCATCCAGTACCCCTTTAAAGCCATTTATGATTATCTGACAGCTTGTGTTTCTTTCCCTGTCTTCTCTCAGCAATTATCTTGGTGGGCTCAGATTTTGATGAACCAGAGTTATCCTTTAAGATAAACTAAAAAGTGACCTACAGAGAAATGTCAGTCCAGTCTCAGTCCAGTAGTGTGCTGGCATGGTCTGCAGCAGTGACCCTTTGTGGCCTGTTAGACGTGGCACTGCAACAATGCTCTGTCTACCCCCTCTCTCTCTGTCTCTCTGTCTCTCTCTCTCACTGACCACTGTTAACTGTTCGCTGACTAAAGCCGTAAAGTACAGGTCTGCTCCCATCCATTCTATAAAAGCCTTCAGACCCTTATAATTGAAATAAACAATATCTCCCAGTTAATTACTGGGCTTAGCTAATTAAAGAAAGGCCGTGGTACTCGGCGGGGACTTTAAATACACCGCTGGGACACAAGAATGCAGGACACAATTCAAACAGGGAGAAAATAGCTGGGACTCTGTGTAATTTTGGTTGTGGACCGCAAGGGAAAAATGTATAATTTAAGCCAGAAATTATTCATTTAACATAAACGCTTGTTTTAAAAAACAAAAAGTATTCATTTGAGAGAAGCTGGGGGGAAGGGTGTGTGTGTGTATGTGTGTGTGTGTGTGTGTGTGTTTTGTCTGTGATACTGCATGACTACAAGGTATTCTACTCCGGGAGTATGTGAGCTTTAGTGTGAGCACATGCAAATGCATCCTTGCATGGGTTAAATAAAGTTTACAAGTATGTTTATGCGCCCGTGAGTGAGTTTTGTGCACACAGGCTGTAAGTGAACAGCGTTCAAGTCAATTCTTGGAGTTTTTGTTTGTGTTGAGTTGTGATGTCCCGTTTAGTCTCGCCTTTGAAGCCCCTGGTGTGGTGCTTTTAGAGGGGGGAGTGCATTGATGTGGACAGGGGACCATTGTGGCTCGCTGTTTTCCATACACACTGATGAGACAGACAGAGAGAGACCTCCCCTGATACTTGGCAAAAACACTGAGGCTAAAAGTGCTACTAATGGCCTTCATCTGCAAACCGTAGCAAACACTAGCCATAGAATTTAGCCGGCTATTTTAGGCCATTGCTGTAGGATCATGTGCATCTGTGTGTTTATTTTTTTAACTCATTTTAACAGGCTGTCAATTACAGGTCTGAGTTTTGCAGTTTTGCATGAGTTGATAAATGGTTATACTGGAAGGATTACAAGGACTCATAATATTATTATCCTTTAAAGCAGCCTTTTTTTGGCAATTAATTACCCTCAATCCGCTAAAGGTCCAGTGTGTAGTTGCTTCTAGCAGCGTAATTGCAGGTCGCAGCTCAGATGCTTCCACCTCCCCTTCCAAGCACAAAGGAAGAACTACAGTGGTCGCAAAATGCACAAAAAATACGAACGCCAGAGGAGCCAGTGTAGAAAACACTGTAGAAACACAATTTAACTTAACAATTTAACATGGTGGACTCCATGGAAGGCAATCTGTAGATAAAAACAGCTTATTTTAAGGTAACAAACACAACAATTCTCATATTCAGGTGATTATACACTAATGAAAACATAACTGTGAATATTATATGCCATTTCTGACAATAGATCCTCCTAAAGGTTATACATTGCACCTTTAAAATATCATACATCTATTACAAGTGGGGTCTATTTTTTGTTGTTTTGGCTATAACTAAGTAATTCTTAAGATATGGAAACTTGGCAACCTATCTGCAAATCTGTTGACTCCTGCCCCATCTGACATTATTTTTGTGATGTTGCCACATTACAAATCCTCAGCCATTTAGTTGGTGTGTAGAATATGCAGTATCACTTATCCTAAATGGTAGAAATTATTTACCTGACTGTGCCAGATGGTTGGTTACACAGAACCATCTGGGAAGTGTTTTTTGGAAACTGCCCTGTGGAAAAGGGCAGGCACTTGGATGAACCACCTGTCTATCACTGTCTATCACAGGCGACCTTCAACCAATCAGACCAACAAAGTCAGTCTGGAGAAGAGTGGAAACATCTTTCTATCAAGAAAAGCCCTCAGTGCCGTTCTTTGCTCTTCCTTCGACGAAGAAAATGATCTCCAGTTCTGATAGAACTGATGCTAGCAGCATCTACACTAACCTCTTTAGCATTATGTTCAACCAACTAAATTATCTGTATCTGTAGCAGTATTTGGAATGGGTGGGGCTTAAATAAATCTGACATAAATGGGAGTCGTACATCGAGTTGGGACGTTGTACATTAAAGCTGCAGTCGCTAACATTTAGAATTCATTCCAGATTGTCATGGGGTTGGCTTTGGGTTGGTAGCTTGAATTCGCAGTGAGACTCAACAATCAACTACCTTCTTGTCTCTAATTGGTTGGTTGGTTGTAAATAGCACTGAGAAGAGCAGAGGAACCAGATTTTTTCACAGATTATCTGTCTCATGTACTACTGACAGGATATAGTGAAAGTTTCAGTGAATATGAAAAAAAGCTATTTTTATAAAGGTTTCTTCTGCAGCTTTAAGCCTAGTACTCGCTCAACCCTAAAAGTTACTCTTTAACACTTTTGCTTTTGTGTTGCCTACAATGCCGACTATCAGAGAATAAGTCAAATGAATTGCTGAAATTGATCTAGTTGAACTGAATAAGTGAAGCCAGACTTCAGGTTAAAATCAGGATATCTTGAGGCAGATTTCTAGCACCCAAATGTCACTCTTCACATCCATTTAAATAGCATTGTCTTAATTGTTAAAAGTTTCCTGGAAAACATTTTTTCAACTAATGGGAACCCTGAATGATATCATATTAAAAGCTCAACATGTAACAGACTGAAGTACATGACTGGTGTGAGATGGGACCACTGTTCAGCTGGCACGCTGCTCTGCTGGATGTGAGTCTGGCCTGTTAAGGGAAAACGGAGAGGCGGAGGTCGAGAGTACACGGCCTGTTTCAGGTGGGCTGGAGGCCTGATAAGGGTTGTTGGCCTTGAGGCAGTAAAGGGATTACCTGTGTGTTTATGAGATGGGGAGAACACACACCCACCCACACACACACGCAATCTCAAAGAGCCATGTCTGCATGCTCATGGGTCTGCAGACTTAATTTGAACTAGACCCGATGGGGATGACACACACACACACACAAATACTGGAGCAAGATCTCAAACAGATGGGGATCCCCCAGCATTTTCAGTCTATTGCAATAGCCGTGTTGCTCACTGTCGCTCTGTTGTTACCATTTCATATCCATGTGAGGCAACTTCCCCAGATGGAATTTTCTGCATACTTGAGAAAAGACAGCAGTAAATGACACTGTCCTGTTGCAGATGACTACCATGTGTGCAACAATAAATTACAGTTTTTCTTTTCCTCTGCTTCATAAACATTCTCACACATACTGTACACACACACACAAACACACAATGTATTTTTGTCTTGCGGAGACATTCCTGTCCAGCTCTTTGTTGTGTCTTTAATGAGTTTTACAGGCCCTGTCTGTGTCTTAGTTGTGTTTTTGAAACATTGTTGTGCTTATTGCCACCGTAACAGTGCAGCGTCTGCTCTAAAGAGAACATCTCACATCCAGTTTTCTTCTCAGGCCGCTGATTAGAGGGAGAGTCTCCTCTCAAAGATCATTCTCGTCTTGACCCCTAAGCTGCATTTAATTCTGAGTCAGTAGTGCCATAGTTTACAAAGTGAGACAGTTGGCGGTTGGAAAATCCTGACTGTTATTAATGGCCTTGATGAAACCCTCTCCTTGCTAACAAAAAGAGGCAGCGTGACCTCAGATATTTAGCTATTTAAATGTTAGTATAGTAACTGTTATTCTGTATTGCTCTGCCAAGCCTAAACAGTTGGTAATCTGTACAACTATCTTTTATTGATTCAGGCAGCATCAGTGTTGCTAAGCACTTCTTTTTTGTGCTTCTCAAACAAACAGTTGTCCACTACTGCAAAGTCCATTTGCGTGGTATTCCTGTCTGAGGTTTGACTTTGTAGGTGGTGCTCATTTATTTGTTTAGTGATGATGGCTATTTCTACTATGGCTAGCTATCAGCTTTTTCTGCTGTTTTCTTTCTTTTTAATTTAAATTTCTCACCACTGAAAACACTTACTTTTAGACAGGTTTCTCCGTTGTTTCTAGTCTTTATGCTAAGTTAAGCTATCTGGCTTCATTATGTAGCATCACATTGAGTGTAAACATGAGAGTGATATCGATCTTATCGCCAAACTCTCAGCAAGAAAGCAAGTAAGCTATTTCCCATAAACAATGCTTTAAAAATGATGCTATATTAGCATATAATATCCTGAGGTGAGCTGTTGTTGCTACAACATGCTAGGCTACACTATAAATCATGAGGCCAGGCTGTAGCTGGCTTGGAATCAGGGACACAGCTCCTGTTGTAGGTTAACAACTTCTATCATACTCGGTCCATGTATCCTCTCAACACTTTGTACTTGATATCCGTCCCTGTCAGACACAATCTTGATTCACAGATCATTTTCAGTTGGTTTTGTGCTCGCTTAGTTGGTAGTAAGAGAGTAGCAGAATGGTAAACATGTATTTGTTTTAAAAGATTCTTAATTTCAAGTGCATACAGTAGATGTTTAGTACTTTACATATGATGAACTTGAAGGAATTTTAAAATATCATTTTGCTAAATATCTAAGGGCTGTAATCACACTTTATTTTGAAAATCTGAAAGATTAATTTCTTTTAAACTATTAGAAGAATAAAGAGATATGACAGCACTGGTGTCGCAGTGTTTGTAGTGTCTCTCTGACTGACCGTGGGCCTGTGCAGCTGAGCTGTGGGAGTAGCCGAGGGCCAGCAAAGCCGTCTCCACCAGCTGAGAGAACAGGATATCTTTCCTGACCAGGACAAACTCTGCATGCTCCTCTCTTCCCTCACATCCGTCTGTCTGAATCCCTCCATCCGACTGCTCCACCACACAGAAGACTGGAATCATCAGACCTGTTCGAGGAGGAGGGCGAAAACAACAAGATTCTTTTAATGTCTGGCTTTTATTGTCTGTGATCACAACACAGTTTATCCCTCACAGACAGCAAACATGTGGATTGAATTTACTGTGGGTCAAGCTTGTAATCACTTCATCCTTTTTGTTGTACATTGTTGAATATTACAACACCTGAAAATCTCAATATGCTACAATCAAGCAAGGATGTAAAACAAACAATATGCATTCCTAAATGGACTATAACAGAGGTGCTCAATGCCTGCTGGAAATGTCCAGACATTTAATCTAACGGCTATTAGATAGACAGTCATAAGAATGGCTCGCCTAACAGATATGCAAAGATTATACAAATATACAAAAGAACTACACTGACAAAAACTGCTGCTTTCATTATTCAGGAATTAATAACAAAAAAACGAACCGAACTGCAAATGAGGGATTTAAAGCAAAATTTGAATTTGAATGTAGTTAACAAAGGTTATACAGAGCTATATGGTCAAAACAAAACTTGAATTTACATGATACAATGAGTTGCAAGATGCAAATTGAGAAATGGATGGGGGCTCTCTCTCCATACACAGATGAGGACAGACGCCATGACCACTTTGTATGGAAGTGGAAGTTTTGAACAGCTAAATTAATTATTGACATTAACTTCAAGTAAAAAAATTGAACTGGTGAGTCCAGACATGTGGCTCGCCGCTACACTGCAGGGACGAGGCTAGAACTTTTGTAAGATAAGATAAGAGGGGAAATGTTGGTGTTACAGCAGCATAAGGACAGAAATAAGCACAAATAAACAGAGAATGTTAAAGGTGCTATCAGTGAAATCAGCATTTTGGCTAACTTCTTGTCCATTCTTGCAGTTAGCAGTCCCCTCCCTGCTCCTAACGTCATCACACTGATATTTTGCTGCCTGCCCTTGAGGACCGCCTCTTTATGGAGTTCTCTCTCCTGATTGGATAAAGTGGGAACAGGATACCAGGAAGTGTATTCTCTGTTTACTGCCAGGAAGGAGGGACTGCGAGACATGCTTACTCATGATCTCTCACTAATCCAGGCACACATGTAAACGTAGTTCACATATTTTCACAAAAACAACTTACCGACAGCACATTTAAAAAAATAAATGTTCCAAGTGCTATAAAATAAAATAAGAATAATTAAAATAGGAAACTATAACAAGATGCCATTAGACGCAAACGCAAACTACAGGCAATAGCACAAATATACACACCTACCTAGAACTGGTGTTGTTACTTGAACCGTTACCATCTAAAGCAACAATTACGTAGTGGCACTGGGGACTTGCCATCTCAACTAGTTCCTTAATGACACTAAATAATCCTTACAAAAAACTCAAAAGCAGCGATTTCCCATTTCGTCAGGATAGATGCACCGTCTTTTCCGCCACGGCCTTCCCTTTGCACCAGGTTAAGAAAAATCATTCATTAGTACTCATTTTCTTATCTCCACCACCATTATTGTTAAAGGTTTTGGTGAGGTTGTAGGCAATAGTAAAATACTAAATGAACAGGAACACTTCAATTTATTTTCATAACATCGTTATTCTCAATTTGCTCTCTACTCATGTAACAATATAACGTTGACAAAACTATGTGCAAGTTTCAGGCAGCTCTCTTCACAAATGTTTAACTTTTAATGGTCAAAATTAGAAGTCATTCACCTCTCGTGAGTATCTCAAACATGCCTCCTTTCCGTCCACACTCCAAGAAACAATAGTTCTGGCTTTCATGGCTTCTGTACCCTTATCATATTTTCCTGTTGCAAGGTTGTCTTTGTTACTGGAGAATTGTTTTCTCAGGTTGATGTAAGTAAAATGGCTTCTCGCGAGCATGATCACAAAGGGTGAGGCTTTCGTTTTTTGGCTCCCCTCAGTAAATTCATATTTATGCTGAGACACCGAAATGCACGCATTGCTCTCCAGAGGAAACGCTTTTCCTTAGTGTGGAAAGATGCTTTTTTTCATAAGGTCCGTTGGACACACCACTTAGGCTTAACCTTCATAATTCGTAGTTGCAACTGGAAATAGCTGTGTTAGCACAAGCTCTGAGAGCTGGCTTTTCGGCTGATCAACAGGAGTAAATTGAAGGTTAAAAAACTCTGGCATCTCAAGATGGCAGATCCTCGCCCCCCTAATCGGAAGCTGGTTGTCCCTGGTTCCGCAGCACCCCCCGTGCCTCCTCCGCACGCGGTCGACAAGTATGTTGAGCAAGTTACTGAACCCCCCAACAATATGCTCCAGATGCACAGCATCGGATGCGGTGATCATGTGATGAGTTGTTTCTTTGCTTTGCTTTTTAGCCGACTTTGCCTTCACTGAGTGAATGTGAGTGAAAGGGTGAAGTGGAACGCTAGTGTAAAAGCGCTTTGAGTGGTCGAAGAGCTAGAAAGGCGCTTATACCAGCTAGTACAGGCTCCATTTACCATTTACCATAAAACGCTTAAAAAGTAAATAAATAAATAACAATAATAAATGTGCAACTTGCGGTTATACTAAATAAAGCTTGCTCAGGTCGCAGTTTGGTTTAAGCAACTAAACTACTTGGTTAGGGTTAGGAAAAGATTGTACCTGACAAAATCAACTTTTGGTCTCACACAGGACTCAAACAGCAGTCTCCTGGGTGAAAGTCATAAGTGTGTTAAAGCCATCCATCCATCCTATCCTCTTCCAAACAATCTTTACACTACTGCTGCTCCTGCACCTTCATACACACATGTACTTTTCACGTCTAGGTGAGGCAAAACGTGACACTGACACGATATCATCTAGTGGAACGGCGGGTCTGTTACACACTTTGGCGCGAGACTGGGCTGGACTACAAACAAACATCCTCCATTTTGGGCCATGTTATATTATGTTGGTGCTATTTTTTTTGTTCCAGTACATGCATTGTGTTTATTGCAATCTTAATGTATTGGCATCCCCTTTAGCTCTACATTATAAACAGGCACATTTAAATCAAGACAAGCACTTGTTCCTCAGTATTTTCAGTATCTGGTTACAGTAAGTATCCAATTCCAACATATTCTCGCAAGATCCACGACCTTCTGCCTCCCTGCACTAATATCAATCCTTCCTCTCCAATATCAGCTTTTTCCTAAAAGGTTTTTGGTTTTGGGCCACCTGTCAACTGGCAATTAATTAAAGCTCTCTGAAGAAATGATGGAGTGAGAGCATTAGGCAGCGTCCCAGCACTAATAATACAGGGCATGGCAATGTGTTTTACCGCATGGATACCACACAATACCAAACACACACACACACACACACACATATGCCTCCTTTTCCCAGCACGCACACACATTCTCCTCCATACAAACACTTGAGGTGCATGCAGCATTAGCAGCCCCCACTCCCCAACCTACCAAGATCCATCCCACCCGTTGTTTTAATCAGTCAATTCCTATATTTCTATTTCCTCCTCATTAATCACTCTGCTCCCAGTCCTCCAGGCTCTCATGGAGTGAATTACACACTGGAGCACCGTGCCAATTCAAGTAAGTGAATTTCCCCCAACAGGGAAATATAACTGTCAACACAGAGCAGCTCCCTCCGACCAGCCCTCCTCTCCCCCTCTCTCCCTCTGTCCCATTCTCTCTCACCCTCTTGCCTCTGGCTCTATCTCGCTCTATCGTCCGTCTCCACCTCAGTCTGTCTTCTCTTATATCCAGTGTCCTGTGATTTGCCCGCTGACTGTATGATCTGGTTTGGATGATGTGATGTTGCCTCAAACCTCTAATCCCTCTAATATGTATGGGGATGAGTGAACGGGGACATTAAAATAAGATATGTGCGTGTGTGTGTGTGTGTATGGAGCGTAAGTGGGTGTGTGTTTTGGCAGCATTTCTTGGGTGTGAGTGTCACAGCGTACAAGTCTGTGAATGTGGACGTATGATGTGTGTGTGAGCATGTAAATCTGTGCGTTTGTGTTTGCACACTGCTCTGTATGTTGTGTGTGTGTGTGTGGCCCCCTCCTCGTGGCAGCAGTGTGGTTTGGAGGAGACACGTTGAGTTTCCTGTCTTCAAAGACAACCCGTCATTATTACAGGCCAACCATCCATTCAGCACAGGAAACCCCTTCCTCCTTCCTCTCTCTCCGTCCCTCCCTCTATCCCTCGTCACTTTTCTCACACACAAATAGTTTCTTCTTTACATTCAAACATTCATTCATTCTCTCACTCCAACACATTCTTCTTCTTCTCCTCCTCTTACTGTGGTTTTAAATCTGAGCTCCTTGCTGATTTGTTAAGCTCTTCAATAAAGCGAGACACTACAGACAAAAATGTGTGTTTTTCATGCAGTGGTCAATTTTGAGATTTAGTTTTGTTGGGGATTTTGCTTTTTTATATATATAACATGTGTTCTTTCAGACTAGTGGAAAGAAAGCACCCAAAATACACATTTAGTTGTTTGTTTTGCTACATTTTGTCTGTTAAAAAATTAGCATTAGATAATGCTTCATTAGCATAATTAAACATAATATTTCAGAAAACTTGTAATGTAAGTAATCAATATGTGAAGTTTCATGGAGATATTTCACCTGGAGTGAATTTTTCAATTCATATCTTTTTTTTCTCAAGCTCTGAGCCAGAAATCTCCACTTCACTTACATACACCAAAGCTTCCAGTTTTATCTATATCTATATTCTGGAGGGTTTTTCTGAGGGATTTGTTCATATATCATTCACAGCCTGATTTATATCACATTGTATCCCTAAAAACATGGTAAAAATGTTTTTTTTTTTTATGGATTTTGAATTATCTTCCGATTTATGAAGTGATTAAAAGAGATATCCAATTTGTTCAATGTTCAGATTTCTGGTCTAGAAAATTGATCATTTGTATATTTGAATATAACATTTCAGAAAACTTGTAACATAAAAATAATGCAAACAGTCAAAAAACCAAGAGTGTAAGAGATTACCTGAGAAATTTCTGCAAACATATGGCAACACAGACAGAGGGCATACGTGCACACACACATGCACACGCACACATACATAAACAAGAAACAACTTTCACAATGAGAGCAGGGATCGATAACCCAGAGTGAGTTGTATAAATCTTGTTTATATGGAGCAATCTCCTTTATTTGGTAAGCCTGTGTTATACAGTTCCCCCCAGACTTATAGATTAACAGTGCAGAAACAGCTCGGGTTCTCCCAGCAGCGCTGCCACACTACAACACAGCGCACCGAGCCAAACTCAACTCAACCTCAGGATGTGGCTCAGTGCACAGCCAAAAGCTGGCTTTGGGTTGGGTGCATAAGAGCTCAAAAACGTCTGACACCTGGGTGAAATCACAAGAGCTGTTCTGACATGCCGTCATGCCAGCATTCCAAGAAACCAATGATTCCACTGATTTATTATATATTATTATTAGCTTGTTGTTAATTAACTCATCAACCACATTTTATAAAAGTTTCAAAATTGTATTGCTTATTTTAACCAAATTTTCAGAAAATCTACAAAAGAAAATGAGGATTAATTCTCCTTTCTATGTGAATATTAGCAGTTGGGCACATAGAGATAAACATTTTCATGTCTTAATTTGAGGAATGCTACAGTCTAATCGCTGCACACAGATCCAATGTTTCTGGATGCTGCTATTTTTTCGACTCTTCAGTCACGTGATGATTTATTCTTGGGTCCCTTTCCACTGCACTTTGTCACCTTTTGTTCCTATCAATACACTACCTTTACCACCTCAGCCTAGGGTGAAAACCTTTTTGCGATATATTTTTATTTAGACTTTCTGGTGCTTCCACTCCAGTCTCTATGTGCAAATTAAAAAAGTGCATAAAAATAAGTGAACTTGAGTTTGTCGCTTTAAAATATTTTCCTAAAATAAATAAAATTGATGCATCTTTTGATGAGTTTACCTCCTAAGGGCCTTGGTGGGGCTCCGTTGTGGCGTATGCGTGGCCCCGTGGGGCTACCATTGAGCTCCAACCGGCCCTTTTTCCCCGGCGGTGGGAGGCCGCTGAGGTCCGGGCTGCCTCCCCTCCGCTCTGGACTGTCCTGGGTGATGGGACTCTCCCTTCCTCTCTCCATCCTCCTCCACACCCCCAGAGGAGCTCCAGCCAGAGAGAACGAGTCTGAAAAGATTGAAGGGAATAAAGTTGAGACCGTGTGAAATTGCGCTTAGTGGATGGTATAAATAGAATGTAGCTATTGTATTATGTTGGTGATATTATATATTATTTTATCATCAACAAACCAAATTAAAAAGACCAAAAAGCAAAATGTATGTATTGAACAAGTCTTGCTATGACTTGGTAGCTCCCCTGCTCACTAGGGCACCAAATGTGTATTCAACAGTAACAAAAGACAAAGTTTGCTGATGGGAGTTGTTTGTCTTCACCACCAGTGTTGTCAT